TGCAAAACAGACTGAGATAATAATTTTGTACTACTAAACAAAAAAATTGTATTTTTTTCATATGTGGGATAAATGGCAGTTTATGTGGTGAAAATCAGTAAACTGAAAGCATGTCCTCAAGAGAAAACGTGGAAAATGAAATGGTATCCAGTGAAAATAAAAGATTTCAAATGAAAAATGGGGCACACAAGGATAAATGCACATGTGGAACTTTGTACTGACAGAAGAGATTCAATTTCTTGTCAGCAGTTGAAAGAAAGGAAGTCTACATTTCTGACAGAAAATGAAACGGGGCATTTACTTGGTGATGATACAGACAAAGTTATTTTTGTCAAACATGCTGTCAGTTTAGATAGTGGGAGTTGCTATAGTATTCAACTGCTGCACAGTGCATAATACAGAATAGCTAGTATTGTGAAAAAGTGTAGATTCATATGCAGAAAACCTGTGCCATGGCAGCTATATATTCATAAAAAGAAAGAGTTTGAAGCATTTCTTAGAAGACAACTATTTTTTTCAGTACAGTCTAAAATCTTTCACAAAACCAGTGTAACTTGTTCCTGAATATGGTTTGTGCTTCTATTTTATTCCTTATTTGTATTCTTGTAAGTCATTGACTTCTTACATATTCAGGAAGATATCTGACCTAAGTCAAAATTAATACTTTTCCTCAGTCATGCACTATATAATTTATCCTTTTTATATTAACATGGTTATAATCACAATACAAGCATTTTTTCTTTTTACCAGCCTTGGGAAAATACACATCTGGTCTCACTAATGAAAAATTATGAGTTCCTCAGCCATGTGTTTTGAACAATCTGGTATGAGGCATAATTGCAAAAGGCACGGATACCCTTTTAAACTCATCATCAGAATATATTAAAAGCTACCACTGGGTTTTTGCAAACAGTTTTTACCGATTGTTCATTTTTCAAAAAAATATGCTATGAACAATAAAAAGTAAATAGAAAAGCTAAGTTGGAGATTAGATTGTACTAGTAAATACTGATGGTCACAGGAAGATCAATTGGTGGAAGTCTTCAAATTTTTGGTAACCACTCAGTCTAATTCCTATCACTTCAAACTGATAGGCTACAGTGAAATATGACACATACTTAGAAAGATTATGAGAAAGTCCATTCATCCACTTCTTCGGATGTATGAGAGCCTGTTTTAGAAAAGCCTACACCAAGAGCAATAAGGTATCCTACGGAAATTATAGGGTCAGGAGAAAATGTAGGAATTGGAACCCACTCAGGAATAATGCCAAACCATCTTATCCCTTCTATTCCATTTCTATTTGCAATTTTGCAAGTTCTCCTCTACTAATCTCACTCCATAAAACAGAACCTCACAATTAATGCTACAAAAGTTTTTCGCATCTAATCTGTTTGAAAATCAGTGTTTAAAGATGGTAGGATTTGAATGCTGATCTGCAAATGAAAACTCAGGACCATCCCTCTGGTGTGCTCAATAAACTTTTACAGAGGAAATATATAAATCAGCCAAGTGGTCATATACTAGGCTACTTAGCACATTTGAAAAATGAGATTTTTTTTCTACCTTGATTATGAGAACATATGCAGATGAGAAATTAAAGGAAGGAATTTATCTTCTTATTTGAAAACACCCACTTTATATGAGAGAATTCTGACAGTTGAGACTGTTTATCTTCATGAGAATATGTTTTGAGCACTTACACCTCACTCTAGTAAAAAAGTACTAGATCACTTGATAAAACAAGCCTTTTACCTTTTAAAAGAAAATTAACACTGATTAGAGGTTTGTTCTAAGTTCAGAAACAGGGATGGTAGAAGCAGAATACATATTAATGTATTCACTCCTAGATAAGCTGCAGCAGCAATACATTTCTGGTTTTAAGATAAAGACCATCCAAACTAAACTAACAAAATATTTGACAAAACGCAGCAATATCTACCTGTCTGCTTTATTGCTGATTTCTGACCACTTCTCTTTGATATCCAGATAAGATTAACAGCTGTAGTATTGCCTGCCCCACTGAGAATCAGCACCTGAACCTTCCTGTCAAAGTATTCAGTATCTGACACTTGCTGTTAACAACAAACATTATTCCCCTTCCTCATGACTACTAATTACAATACTGATATGTTCTTGACCGAATGTTTTCAAAGCAATACTATCCAATATTTAAAAAAATCCACTCTGACAAAAAAGATTTCACTCTGAGATACTATCTTGCCCGGTCTCAGATGATGCTGTAATAGCATTTGTATTGCAGTTTAAGATTTTGGAATTTCTCTTCTATTACTCTGTGGAGTAAGAGGGTTCTGACAGTTGCTATTCCATTACAGGTACTATGGAACAGATTTTATTTTAGAATTGGCAACATAGTATAGTTAGTATAAAAGTAGTTACTTAGTATAAAAGACAAATCTGGAGAATTAAGCATCAAAAAATAGGTGAAGGAAGAAGATTATACATTATTTTTAAAGCTTTCAGAGAACAATTTTAAGCAGAAGTGACCGAGAAAGTGTTTCAGAATGAAGAGTGACAAAGTGTTTCAGAACAGAGAATGAAAGTACTTGAAAATTAATTACTATTAAATATTTTTTAGTAAAATCAATTGAAATGAGCAAGAATATTACAGATACTTTCTCTCTTTCCTGTTAGTCAGACTGGTCATCTAATCCATACATCATGTCACAAAATTAACTGTGCTGGGCAATTAGATATAAATTATTTCACAGACACTTCTTGAACTCTGTCAGGCTTGGTGCTGTGACCACTTCCCTGGGGAGCCTGTTCCAGTGCCCAACCACCTTCTCGGTGGAAAACCTTTTTCTAATACCCAACCTAAACCTCTTCAGGCCATTCCCTTGGGTCCTGTCACCGGTCCCCACAGAGAAGAGATCAGCGTCTGCCACTCCTCTTCCCCTCACAAGGAAGTTGTAACTGCAGTGAGATCTCCCTTCAGTCTCCTCCAGGCTGAACAGACCAAGCCACCTCAGCTGCTCCTCATCCAGCTTCCCCTCAAGGCCCTTCACCGTCTTCATTGCCCTCCTTTGGACACTCTCCAACAGGTTAATATCCTTCTTATTTTGTGGTGCCCACAACTGCACAAAATATTCAAGGTGAGGCCACACCAGAGCAGAGCAGAGCGGAGCAATCCCCTCCCCAGCCCAGCCAGTGATGCTTTGCCTGATGGTCCTCCTGGCTGCAGTAAAGTTGGAAACAATTTTTTATCTCTCAAAGAACCTATTCTGCTACATAATCAAGAAGTGTCAGGAATATGTATCTACCTCAGTTTCTTACTACTGAAAAAAACCAGCTGCCTGGACACCTTGAAAACAAGTGAGCACCTTTGAAGTACTGATAGAAATAGAAGAGACAAGAGTACCTTGCCTGCTGTTCATGTCTCTTGTCTTAGATAAAAACATCACTGTGAGAAAATAATAGTGCTGCTCATACTATATTAAGTATATATTAAGGCAATGCATATTTTCCATATTATTAGCGGCAAAACTCCTACATCTAATTGAAAACTACTTAGGTCATAGTGAGAAGGAAGGTGGTAATAAAAATAAATCTGCTATGTATTTCATGCCTAAGTATTAACTTTGCTTTATTTATCATATCCTGTCATACTTTCAGTCAGCCTACACTGACTACTACTACCAATAATTCATCAGTCATCATAGATTATTTCAGATACATTTGGTAACCTGTGTATATAGTATAGAAGCATTCTCCAGTTAATATTTAACTAGGTGTCACATGCAGTATTCTTTGTCAAAAAACTGTGATTATATTCATTTGCAGTCTTAATATTAATTGATTTCATTTACAAAATAATAGGATAAATCCATATTAATCTAATGTTACATAAACTGTACAAACTGTCACATACAATCATTGCTAAAAAGACAGACCAGAAGAGTACTCCTTAGAATCATGGAGTTCTTAAGGTTGGAAAAGACCTCTAAGACAATCAAGTTCAACCATTAACCTAGGACCACCAATTTCACCTCTACATCGTGTCCCTAAGTGACAGGGATCCAGGAATTTTGACTCAACTACTTCCCTGGGAAGTCAGTGCTTGTTCCAAAGCTTGACAACCTTTTCTGTGAGAAAATTTTTCCTGATACCCAATCTAAACTTCCCCAGGCACACCTTGAAGACATTTCCTCTTGGACAAAGAGACCAACTCCCATCTCACTACAACTTCCTTTCCAGTAGATACAGAGAGTGATAAGGTCTCTCCTGAGCCTCCTTTTCTCTAGGCTGAACAACACGAGTTCCCTCTGCTGCTCCTTATAGGACTTGTGCTCCAGATCCTTCACCAGCTCCACTGCCCTTCTCTGGATACACTCCAGCACCTCAGTGTTTTTCTTGAAGCAAGGGGCCCAAAACTGAACCCAGGATTCGAGGTGTGGCCTCACCAGTGCCCAGTACAGGGGAAAAATCACTGCCTTGGTCCTGCTGAGCACATGATTTCTGATACGAGCCTGGGCACACTGCTGGCTCATGTTCAGCTGGCTGTTGAGCAGCACCCTCAGGTCACTTTCCAGACACAATTGCCTCAGCCTGGAGCACTGCCTGGACCAAAGTGGAGGACCCAGGAGGTCCTGTTGAATCTCATACCACAGGCCTTGGCCCATCAATGAGAACATGAGAACAAGGGTTAGTGATTGTGAGACTTCTCCCATCTGTTTATAGAATATTTCATCTTCCTCTTCATCCTGGATGGGAGGTCTATAATAGACTCTCACCAGGATATCTGCCTTGTTGACCTTCCCCCGATTCTTACCCATAAACCCCTAACCCTACTATTGTCACCATCATCAAGCTCTGGACAGGCAAACCACTCCCTACCATACAGGGCTGCCCCATCGCCTCCCCTTCCTTGTCTGTCCCTTGTGAAGAGTTTATGGCCATCCATTGCAGCACTACAGTTGTGCAAGTCATTCCACCATATCTCTGTGATGTCATAGTTTTCCAGCTGCACAATGGATTCCAGCTCCTCCTGTTTGTTGCCCATGCTTCGGTGTAGGTGGACTTCAGGTTGTTGATCCCGCCACATTTTTGGGGGGAGAACCCACTAATTCCTACATGACCATTCTCATGGTGCTTCCATTGTGTCTAACACATCAATAACTCCTGCATCTTTGCAGCCACACGGATCTCCATCTCCCACCTCCACTGAGATGTCAGACCAAAAGTCCTCACCAGCACACCATCCCTCAAACACTGGCATGCTGTCCCCAGGTTTATCTCCAGTGAGCCTGGTTCTAAACCTTTCTCCCCTCAAATTCAGTTTAAAACTCTTCACTAAACCCTGATAACTTCTGTGCAAAGATCCTTTTACCCCTTTGAGACAGGTGTATCCCATCTGTCACCAGCAGGCTCAGTGCCATGTAAACTGACCCATAATTATAATTAACACAGCTGAGAGTTCATATCATTAGAAGTATGAAAGCAGAAAGTAAAGTTAATTGTTTTCATCTCCCTCATACGGTTACTTATGAAACCAGGCCTCATGAGGACACATGATGTATTTCAACGAGACAATACAAAGCAGCACATAATTACACAACTCCTTGGAGTAACGGGTTTGTATCCTTGAAAATTCTCCAGAAAGTATTCCAACTGTGTGAATCGCCTCAACTATTACATTGCTGTCAGTTCAGACAAATGATGCATGCAAATACATCCTTATACAAACAGTGTGTTTCTAATGCCACATTTTAATATAATTACATCATGAGGTAATTAGAATGTGCAGTTATATAAGTCTCACCTTTCTCCTGCTACTGAATGAACTGCTAACTACAAGGGAAAGATTAATCTTTATTAGTGATGTTTGAGTTAATGATTTCTGAACATGAAAAGAAAAACAAATGCCTAAAAATGGGAGATTTTCCTTGACAAGAAACTTCTGCTCTGTAAAAAGTTTCTGTACAGTAAGTCATTATTTTTCTAATCATTTAAAAAAATAAAATAAAGTTTGAGAGTGTAAAGCAGAAAACTGCTGGGTCATGAAAGGTGAGATAAGCATCTGTACTGACAAGGATATAAAACTACTAGCGAATTCAGAAATTTACGTTTTTCATTATTTCTGTAGAGAATTATTTATCAAAACACTGCTTTATACTTAGTGCCTAAAAATATCAGATCAAAACAGAATTTTAACATTTCAGGACTCCTAATGACTATTTTCACATTATCCAAGTCTACGCAACTTCATAGAGAGCAACATAGAGACTGCAGATCTAAGTCCTTATGCCATATTTGACCATAACTTCTATGAATGCTATAAACCCAGGGAGTCAAAGTTTCCATCAAAAGATTTATGAGACAGTGATCTTTAATCAGAAACCACCTTCTAGGATCTGGATTCAGCCTGGCTGATGAGATATTAAGAAAAAAAGAAAATGACGTATGAAAAGTGGTTTGGAACTCTAATCTGAACTGAAAGCATTTAGGATCTTTTTTATGCCGGGACAAGGCTTGTGGTTAGCACCCACATACACTGGGTGTTAAAAAAATATATTAAGGATATAAACTGAATGTTCATGTATATGAATGTGTCAGTGAGTTTCTTGGAATACAAGACATTGCCTGATGTGTTATGTAGGGTAAGTGTATTTCTCGCCCACAAGAGGGAGGAACAAAAGAGACTTATCAAACTGGGGCTGATTGTATAGATTAGTGAGCAATAACCCCTTTCCACAAAGTACATAAATGCATATTTCTGAGACTTTTGTGACTTATTAAAGCTCTTTTTTGTTTGAATCTTTTATATGCATAAGTTGTGTGCAAACTCCACACTTATGTCATGTTCTTGCTTTTCATCCTTATGCATCAAAGTGAATTGTAAGAGAGAACTCTTACAAGCAGAGTACGAAGCCCGGAAGAACTGATGCAGCAATACCTAAGGAACAGATGAAAAGCCATAAACTCTTTCCTGGCCACACAGCTGACATAATAAAATTGTTCTATTAACAGAATCGTGCTCCATTATCCAGTTTTGTAGCAACACAGATAGGCAATATTTCCCTATCAGGAAACTGTACCTGTTTGGACAAAAAGCTTTCACAATAAAGACTACTGATATGGAACACTGTGTTATGACTACTGTAAATATTACCCATCATAATAAATTAATTTATTTTACAGCTAAGCACTCTGTACCTATTGAATAAATTTACTTTTTTTTCTTTTGAATAATTTTCTTATGTAATTTAAATTATATCACTTAAATGAAAAAATTCATATAAGAAGAATAGTGCAACTTAAATTCAGAAACACATAGGGGCTTTGGTATATTACTACAAAGTCAAATTAGCATAAAAAGAGAGCTCAGTATCAAAAGTATGGTTCAGACTTCATTTTTGTACAGTGCAACAATTGTGCAACAGAGTATCATATAATGGAATCTAGTACCAGTTCAGTAAATAGTTAAAATCATGTATTAATACAGTAGTGCCAAAAGAAGTATTTCCATCCAATGTACTTACTCAACATAATCACTTATAACTAAACTTTTCACAGTATGTTTTTCATAAATAAATTCAGGCATAGATGATCCAGTGCCTGCAATTTCCAGTTTTGAACTTTCTGTCAACAGGAAAGTCATGCACTATGAAGGAATACCAGAAATTTCTTCATCAAAAAGGTTGTTGAGCATTGGAATGGGCTGCCCAAGGAAGTAGCGGAGTCGTCATCCCTGGAGGTATTTAAAAGACAAGTATATGTGGCACTTGAGGACACGGTTTAGTGCTGGGCTTGGCAGTGCTGGGTTAATGGTTGGACTTGATCATCTTAAAGGTCTTTTCCAGCTAAACTATTCTATGATTATATGAATGCTGGAAAAAAGGGTCCTGCTTCCAAACAGCCAATCAACCTCATATTTAAGAGATTTAAGACCTCAAGCAGACATTTCTGTATTCCTCTCAATAAGTGTAGTGAAGAAAACACAATGAAAGTATAACAGCATAGTTCAACAGCACCATCTCATCTACTTAATTTTCTTTTTCCTCAAGATTCTCTGGAACACTAAATACAGCATTCTCTCTTTTTAAGATTTTTTTTTTCCCCAGAGGAAAATAACTGTATGAAAACTGTCCAGCCATTTACTAGGAATATTTGCATCATTATCTCTTTTTATTACTGCAACAGAGCATGTTGACAATAGACTACCAAACTAACATTTCTCATGTATTTGAAAGTAATGGAGAAAAACTAATTCAGTTAAGCTACAGTGAATAAACTTGATGCAAATTATATAACTTCTATAAATATCAGAGATGCTTGATAAACTCTCACGTTTGTCAAGTGCCTCTAAGCTGAAGTGCTCCTCTTACCTGCCACTGTTTCATGAGCTCCCGAACCATTTTGGCATCTTCTAGTGTCTTTTCTTTGTGTGTAGCATCCTGCAGGACATTTGCAGTTGTTTCAGCTTCTGTAAGCCAAGCAAGAAACTTTTCGAGATCCAGGTAGAATTGCTGCAACATTCTCAGGGCTGATTCCAGTGCTGCTTCACGCTCACCAACCCTGCACAAGTACAAACAGTTAAATACAGCAGTCTTTGGAAGAAAGCAAATCTTAATCATTAAATCAAAACATAACAAAGACATGCTAAATATTTTTCATATACCAATAAAAGTAAATTTGCAGATACATCAGCTACAGAACTTGTATGGTATGTTTGGCAGGTAGGGTTCCTTTTTTACCTTTTCCGTTGAGAAGCAATAAGTGGAATCTGCCTGACAAAAAATTAGGCAAAAGCACTTCTTTCAAAGCACTATGCCTAAAACATGCACAGTTGAAAACAAAAAAAATAATCAGCAGTAGTTCCCTGATTTGCTTTAATCAAAGATTATTTTCTAATTTGTCATTAACATGGGAAATCATGTTCATTTTCATAAATGAAACAGTTTCTGGCCACTGCATGGTACGATAAATTTAATGATTAGTTTTTATGACCTGAAACCTTTGGTGACTACGTTCAACTCCTTAAACCCTAACAACACTGACATTTCTGGAGGGTTTTGTGGTTTATCTTTCTTCTTTCTTTTTTTTTTTTAAATATAAATGTGAAAAATTACAAGGATGATCTCTATCAGTTACATGATAAAATACAATTTTTAAAGACCAAATTTATCTTATCTTTGGGGAAGATCTAACTCATGGATTAAGGAAGAACCCTAAAGACTTCAGCAATTCTAGTGTTGAAAAAACATTAAAGCAAATCTGTGTTCTATCAGCATTCCTGTGCAATGTAGGTGTCACATGTACTCACCGATTTTTTGTATTGAACTGAGCACAATATGGATTTAGAAACAAGATCAGTTAAGTATGACATACCGTTCATTAACATCAGTCTGCCAAGGCTACTTAGCTATTGTATTACATGCATATTTGTTTAACATCAACATTATAACTGAATAATTTTTTAAGCTCTGAAAATATATAGTAAAGTCATTTGGTAACTTATACTACTTCAAGTGGAATGAATGCTATTTGATGCACACACTTATGTTAAGTCTACAAATCTGTGGTTGTCTGCATACATCTTGATAGATTTCCTGTCCAGTTTTATAGTTATTTAGGTAGAGACTAAGATACTAGATTTTAGCACATATAATTTCTTGAGTTGTAATTTATCAGAGGAGGCCATGAAATTTTTAAGTGCTAATCTCTCTTTCAAATCCTGTTTCTGGTTGTGAAGAGGTTGTACTCTTGATAAGTAATGATATCACCCTAAAACACAGTACACTGGTCGAAGTCAGAAAACAAAAAAATACAAACACCACCACAAGTTTTGGCCAAGTGGTACTGACTTAACATGTTTTTCGACAAGCGTATAAGCGAATTGCAGCAGAGGATAGTAAGAAAAAATCAGAGTATAGGTAAGGACAACCATTTCAGAAAAGAAAAAAAAAATCCTCCCTGAGAGTCAAATGCCACAATAGCTACATATTTCTACCATATTTTTAATCCTTTAGCACCTTATTTGCTTTTCCCAACCATTTGGTTAGAAAAGGAATTAATTTTTCATTCAAAAAATGAGAAAGCTATTGATAAACCTCAGCACAAAGTCATCCACCATTTTTTTAAAGCTTAAAAATGGACTGGATTTTCATCTCAGTTGTACCTGTTGCCATCTACAAGAACTCTCCACATCATGGCACTGCTTAGGCTGTTTTAGAATGTGTCTCCAGGGGGATGTCAGTAGGAAACACTTCGTTTCAGAATAGTGAACATGATCTCTTTCCTGGCTTTATTCTACCTGGACGTAAACATGTCTTGTGGTTAGGCCACTCTTCAAATTTAAAACAATTGCAATGAAAGAATTTGTTGTTCTTTTGTTAAACTAAAGAATAATTACATAGAAATTACATCTAAATAAGCTATTATTATACATTAAATCAGTATAAACTTAGAAAAAAGACAATAGGAAAATCTTTTACCTGGAAAATCCTATATTGACCTATTTACCATTTTTAGCTCAAAAATAGCATCACAGTTATTCAATACAACTGGGAAATGGAACAAACTTGCAAAAACTAAATATACTTTATCCAGTTCTTCAGAGCACAATTCTATTATAAGATATGCTTTGTAGCATTATTTTAATTCAATTTACAGTGTGCAATATGATAATTAATATCAGTGCCTTTGCAGAATCAGGTATAACACTTTTTTTTACTGCAGTTTCTTCATAACATTAAAGGCACATTTTTAACTCCTGTACACCTGAATTCCTATAAATACACAGCAATGGTCTAATAATAGCATTCTGCAAATACATAGTGACACTTTAAAAACAAAGAACAACACAAGCACAGATATGGAAAGGATACTCAAAGGGAGAGCTGTTGTAAGATTACTAAAAATCAGAATTTATGTTACAGAGAAACTCTAAGACTTCATGAAAAAATATAGTTTTTTATTGATCTGGGTAAAGAATGAAGTTTTCACTATGAAGAATCTTCTGGCCCTTCTATGATGCACAGAAATCTCATGACACATAATTCTTTCAGTTTACAGAAATGTGTTTCTTATCTATGGGCATACTAACACACCTACCAGAAAATATCTAGTACTTTGCATTTTAAATTTTGGGTTAGCTGACATGCAATAAACATTCAGCTACATTGACAGCTCTGCAGTGTATCAATAATTTTCACTCTACTTGGCTTTTTACCTACTTCAAAATTATGAGGTTAGAATAGAGAAAAGAAGGTCTAAACATAAAGACTAAAACTGAGTGTTAAATCCAGTACATGATAAGATAAATTGCACAAAATTATAGGGGAGATAAAAATACGTATATTGACTAAGAAACTATTGCAAAAAAACTAAAATAAAGATTCTTCCTCTTTAGTCTGTATCACCCAAATATGTTTAATTCTATGGTGAGTGCAAGCTGTAAGAAAAAAACATGAAGTAAGCAGAAATATATTTTAGTGTAAATGGAAAACTGCACAGTAGAAACACTACAAAGTACTCCTAATATACTTTATGATAATAAGAAAAAACAGTTTGTATCTGTTCTACTATGACATAAAAATAAACATAGTGTATAACCAAAAGCTTCTTATTCAAGGGAGAAACACTAAAAGTGGGATTCATCTTAGTTTCATCTCGGCACCAAGAAGTCAAGCAATTACACTCTCTCTGCAAAACATGGAGACTAACATTGCTGGAATTTAATTTCTCCTCTATTTTCTGTACACATCTGTTGTACCAGATCAAGGTCATAGTAAATTTTTTTTCTCTTGACTACAACATTAAATCATCTAAAGCTTAGACAATTTTAATTTTACACAAGCCTAAATTTTATGTGTCTAAAAGTAGGTAAGCTGGTCACCAATCTTCCCTGTAAATTTGATTATTAAGAACTGTTGGGATCAGTTGGACTGACCAACTCTAGTTGTCATATGAGCTTTGTGGCAGAACAGAAATTGTGATACTGTTTTAAGAATGCATCAGCTCAAAGCTTCAAGTTAAGGGAAAACAGTGGCATGTCAGATGAAGTGAGACAAGCAATGTGTCTAAGTGTGAAAAGTTATACTGTAAGGAAGACGTTTTTAAGGGTTTTAAAAAAATCCATAAAAAAAGAAAGCTACCAGCCTCTGCTACAGGACATTGCAGTTGTGTTGAGAACCTTTAAAGCTAATATTTTTTTAATGTAGCTCTATAAAAATGTTTGAGAAAATAAGCAGGGGAAAACGAAGTTATCTGAAATCTGTGGGATCTTCAAGTTCATAATCAAGGTATTGTATTATTAACTAAAAACCAGAATTTGTACCATGACATACATGGAAAAAAAATATATACACAACAAAACCAACATCTATACCACTGAACATCTTGTTCCAAAATCTAACAAGAATCAAAAGTGCTGAGCTTTGGGAACGATGGTGTCATTGAGAGTTGGACTTGATGATTCTTGTGGGTCCCTTCCAGCTCAGAATATGCAGTGGTTCTGTGATTAAACGAATCACCAGAGTACTTCATTCTACACTACCCAATCCCATGCAACACAAGGAATACAGTGCTTGAAGAGGCTCCATGAGTGTGAATATCAGATTTTTCTTCAGCTCTATTTGCTACATAATTTGGAATTAATCATTCACATTTTATAAGTATGTGTTTGTCTATTTGAAATTGCATTGCTTATTCACATTACAAGCTACACTACAAGGGTCAGTGATAATGCTTTGAGATGCCCAGAAAACAGGACATACAGTAACTGCAGAGCACAAACTAACAAATTTCTGTTCCCCAGGTATTTCTTTAAGAGCAATAAAAGTGAAGAAACTCTGTATCATTCAGTGTTCAATAGATCAGTAAATCACACTTCCATCTGCAAACTGTAGTGATCTAAAGTTATCATACTGAGATGTAAAATAAAATATCCTGGACTACTGGAAATTATCAGTAAATGGTTTTACTTCTATAGTTCCTGTGGTTCTCCCTCTATAACTCTATAACTGTATTTTCTCTTTGCTGACATTACAATTCAATACAATAAAAAAAAAAAAAAAAAAAAGGTACCCGAATTTCTTTTCTGGAGCCAACTATCACAGAGAATTTGAACTACATGCACCTTCCTGCTAATGCTGGAAGCAGTTTGCACTTTTTCATGAGGTTTATATCCCTTCTGCCAGTATGACAAAGGAACAATTGCAAAGCTTTATTGGAACATTTAATTTTTACTACTGCATAAGTTTAAGCTCTTACTGGTAACCCTTCTTCAGCTGCTTTAACTTTGACTGATAAAGAACCTATCAAAGAGGCAGAATAATCTAACCTCAGATAAAGTGCAAACACAAAGAGATGTCACAGATATGAAAGCAAATGAAATTCTTAAACATGAATTTCCTAAAATAACTATTATTGATATAATTTTGAAATGCAAATTCAAAATAAATCATATTCAATAGTTTTGGGAATGCTGTTTAGAAGAATTTTCTTCCAGAATCTAGGGACTATATTCCATACTGCCAGTTAAAAGTTATTAATGCCTGCCAGTAAGTGATTAA